CTTTTGGTATATTAGCATATTTTTATTCTGGCATTTTAACTTTTACTTGTAACAGAGTAATTTTATACTGTGGTATTCCTACTTTTGCAAACATCTGAATACTTCTTCAATCGCTGCCACTGTGATTTTCCGGTGGAAACGAGGTAGTGGAGATTGTTTTGTAACTAGAGGAGCTGATAGCAAGACTTTATTTCCTAAAGTTACTCCAACACAACAAACTCTTCTCCTTCGTTTCCGTGTTTGTCTTCCTGCAAAAACTCACCTCTCACGAGATTTCAGAGCGAGAACTGTCCTTGAGCAAGACTTCACTCGTAGGGATCCTTTCCATGATGTTGTCAGACACCTTTTTGTGGACGTCATTTTGACGGACGCAGTTGCCCCAAAAAACAAAATGATTCTTTAAAAGACAAATCATTATATTCAATTATTCAGGCCTTTTCATGTTGACTTTAGATGTTTCAATGTTTCAGTGTAGGGTCTAACTAAAGCACTACTCCTCAGATAAAACATGCCAAAAAGTAAAAACTACCTGAATGCACCTTTTGATTTTTCAAATATTTTAAGTGAGGTCTCATTCAGGTGATATTGGAAATCTTCTGACAGTAAAAGCTACATTAGTTTAACGTAAGCTGACAAATCCATTTTTATTGTATACTGGATGAAAAGCTGTCCTTAGTCGATGGTGCCTCTTTTTTTTTCAGATGTTAATGCTGTGAGATTACACAACAGTAAAACACAGGCTGCCTCGTTCTAATCACTCACTTGAATTGATTGAAATCACAAAATGCAGCACTTAACTGACTGAGAGGTCAGCTGAGTGCACGTTCACCTGAAACATGTAAGGCTTCAGGACTGGATCTCTGTGCCTAACCTCAGTTTTTAAATCCATCTGAAATCAGTTTTAAGGCTGCCTTTGTTTTCATTATTGATTTATTTTGCAGATTAATTTCTCGATTCAATAACTTGATCTGTAAAATGTCAGAAACTTGTCCAAAGGGACGTCTTTTTGTTTCACCAACAGTCCAAAAACTCCAAAGATATTCAATTAGCCGTCATAAAAAAAATATGAAAAAGCCGCAAATATTCAAATTTCAGAGGACGGAGCTGCAGAATTGAGTCATGTTGCTTCACAGATTCTTCTGATATTTTCATGTGAACTAGCTTTAGTTTACTGTAGTGACCTCGTGTTTGTTTGTTGTCGTTTTCTTTTCACCATGTCCCTCCATGCCCTCGCTGCTGGTCCAGTTTATTTTGCAAGATTTGAGATTATTGTGGTATTTTCCGCTTTCCTGACCCCCTGGGATACACCTGTTGCATGAAGCAAGATTAGCGGCCTTGATACATTATCTTTATCTTTGTTAAATCAGAAAACTGGCTCACTTTTACCTGGGAAAGGTCTTCATGCTTTGGGGCTAAAACAATAGGTCCATTGGAAGAAAATGAACTAATCTGTTTACTTTTAATGATTTAAGCAAAAACAGCAACGAGCAGCCAGTTAATGTTTGCATCGATCAGGCATTGTTTGCTTCGTAACCTTCAATTTAGAGTATTGTTGAGATTTATTGTCGTTTTACTGACACTCGGGTAAACATCTTCTTCGTTTCTGTCTCAGTTGCTGTAATTCAAAGTAACGTTCCATACAGCCCAACTGTTATACTGAAATGTGGCAATAGTCTCATTTGTTATTCATTGAGCTTCCAGCATGTTGTGTGATGCCGCCTATTTTGGCCAATGCCGAGTGCTTGCTCATGGGTTTGAGCATGCACTGGAGCACACGCTTGGAAACATAGTGGCTGTAGTCTGAAACCTTACCGCTAGAAGCCACTGAAAACTACACATGGCCCCTTTAACCAGAAACACTATATTGCTCTTGTCATGCAAGTCATTTTAACTCTTTTGTCTACCGCTACCTCGATCGGTGAAGTTTGTTTGTGTTATTGTTTGAAGTTGGTTTATTTTTTTTTTTCCCCTTTAAACCCAAAGTCATACAATAACACAAATAAAAAAGTCACACAACAAATCAAACACACAAAATCACCAAAGTCACAGAAAAGGAAATAAAAGAAGAGCCACTCCAAGGTTAATTTTTCCAACACATAAAAGGAATATATTTAAAAAAATTGTTCATACTGAAGAACCCTTATCATTGCAGAGTCATTTACACAAGGGGCAGTTGTATGTCAGTCTGTCATTGTCATATACATGGTCATTCAGATGCACACACTGCCTCCTCTTCCCTCGCAAAGTAGTCCCCTTTGCAGAATTGTACACTTCCATTGCAGACAAGTAAACACAGTTTCAGAATAAAAATCAGCATTTCACCTCATTTGATTTTTAAACTGGATTGAAACACTAATACTTCTTGGACATCACATTTCTGAAATGGCAAATGAGGAATTAGGTGAATTCTTTTTTTCTGTGTATGACAAATCAAAAAGAGAAACAAATCAACTTTTATTAGATTTTCTTTTTTACAAACACATCTCACTACATGGTTGATATTTTTTTTTTTGAAATTTATAAATCTGTGTGGTTTAGAAATGTCACCCGAAATGCAAAGGATGTGCATAGGTGTCAAGTCAACGTCCGGCTCCGTCGCTGTTTATTTTTCCTGCCTCCCCCCCCTTTCTTGCTTCACTTGGAGTCCAAACTTTTTTATTTTTTGTCGTCATGTCTTTCTCGGAGGTTCACAGAGGGACACGGGGGAACACTGACTGACTGACAGCATGGAAGCTTGCAAATGTCCACATGCATGATAACCTCATTCAAATCTAAAACATTTATGGATTTATTTAGAAGAGACAGTACCTGGTTGGTAGGTCGGTAGGTAGAAAGGTGCATATAGTGATACTGTACCGAACAATAGGATGGAGTCATGAGAGGATGAAGGTTAGAAAATAACAGGAATGAATAAATAATGAGGGCTGGCGCTGTGATCTACCGATGAGAAGACATTGCAGTGTGTTTGTGTGCTTTTACGTCCGTCTGCTGATAGACAGAATACCCACTGACAGTGTCTCTCTGCAGATGGTTTTGGTACTACAACACCCAACACGACTACAAGGTGATGGAGGGTTGTTTTTGTTGGTGGTGGTGGGGATGTGGACTGCTAGCGGTGCTCCAACATGGCAGGACGGGACGCAGTACTGTCTCTTTAAAACAAACATCTACAGAAATGTCGCCTCCTAGCTAGTACAGACATGACAATATTCACTTTTTGTTTACTCTGTTTTTGTACAACACTATGACTAGGTCATCTTGAAGGGGCAGGAGTCCGTTAATTGCCCCGCTGCAGGTAGTTTGTGCAGCGTTCAGGAGGATTTCGGTTGAATGCTGTGGTCACAGTACGCTGAGTTTCTTTTTTTCTTCGATCAAGTGCAGTGTGGAGAGAGGTTTCCCGTCAGTTTTGTTAATTGTTTTTTTAAATTTATTCTTATTTTGTAGAGGGAATGATGGGAGTTTGGCCGAGGTGCTGTTGCTGGGAGGATGGGAGGAGGTCAGTAGACCCAGGACACGGGAACCCACTGACTGGTGGTGCACACTAGATCGATGGCCTCCTCCAGGTGTCTGATGGTCTCATCGATCTCATTGTTGATGATGGTCTGGTCGAAGTAGTGGGCGTAGGTCTTCTGCAGGATCTCCGACTCCTTCTGCAGCCGCTGGAGAGACTCGTCCTGGAGGAGGAGGAGGATGAGGAACAAAGGGTGTTAGACACTGATGAAGGCAGTGATGGAGGTGAGAGCACATACAGGACTGAAAGGGAAACTCTATAGGCCCCTACATACTGTGTGATTGAGCTATCCAAGACGAGAGCGAAACATGGTGAGATTAAAGAGAGAGAGGCAGAGGACAGCTAGAGGCAGAGCTACACTTTCTTACGTCATGTCCTAAATAAATTTCCCAAACTTTCCACAAATATATTCAAAAATCTCAAATCTAAACCCCCCTACTTACTGAGAGAAATGTCAAATAATTGCAACAAAATTTACAACCAGGTGAAAATACATCAT